ATGAAAATATTTCAATATCTTATATCCTTCCAGATGCTGTATATTACATCCTTGATGGATGAAAATATTTCAATATCTTATATCCTTCTATATTCTATACATTATATCCTTGATATTTTCATTTTAGATGAACATATTTCAATATCTTATATTCTTCTTTATGCAACCTTAGCTTTTGTGCTAAAGTATCTTTTATGTCGTATCGTCTACTAATTTCTTCTGTAATCTTCACCTCAAGTATGTCATATCGCAGATGCGTATGTCTTAAAAAGACTTTCAAAGTACTCATGTTTATAAGTTTTTTATAAGTTGTTTATAAGTTCGTTATAAAAAATGCTTTAAATATAATTTTTATTGTTAGCACCGAAGTACTTCTTCGGCATACATGCCCCTCATCCATTACAGCTTTAATTTTCCATGGTTTATTTGGCATATTTTTGCCGCTAACATAAATTAGTTGTGGGCAGTGATAAATAACGACAGCAATTTTATATCGCCAACTTTACAACTTAAAGTACATAATTTTTTAATCTGTTTTTATCTGCACTTCAACTTAACATTGTTTGGAGAATGTTCACATGCAAGTGTGCATACTTAACCGAGTTCCCCTCCTCTTCAATGTCGTAATGATCCATTGCATTTCGCAACAAAATATATGAAATTTTATTGCTTACAACAAGCTTCTTACATTCCGAGAACTGAGAGGGAAAGGATAATAAAATTTTAAAATGACTACATAAAAAATTTTAACACGAGTAAACCCAAAAAGCGTTGGTTTCCCAGAAAGTAAAGGACGTAGGAATATATGTAGAGCATTTTTGTAATATTTTACTTTTTAACTTAAGGAAATGCTCATATGTGTTGCATGATGTGTTGCATTGACAGTGCATAAATCCTTTTTATTTGCGTACTTGCACTCATTACATTTATCCTCACCGCATACTTATCAATTCACCACAGCGCAGATGTTGCCACATGTTTCACTTAAGATTTAAATAATTTCATTATTTATGGAGACGGAACTCTTGTAATTGCTACTTTAAATCTGTTATTGCAAAATTTTTATTTATTTTTTTTTCATAGTATTGTATTCATACCGTAAAGTAAATGAAATAAATTTAATAAAAATATTTTACGGATATGCAAAATTTTTGTAAGAAATTGAAAATAAGAAAAATTCTCCAAATTTATTTAAATTGTAATTTCGGTAGTTAATATTTATCATTAAAGATTTAAAAATGTGAAATTAAATCAAGTAAACTTTTCATGCAAATCAGATTTGTTATCGCATAATTTCTATTCAAGTCAGAACGTTACTATCTTTCATTTCGCACCGTAGCCCACAATGCTTTCACATTTCCACATCACCTTTCTCCACCGCAATGCTGTGCTTTCACCGAACCTCAGTTGGCAGCTGCCTATAATTTCCCTTTTAACTGCCAAAAATTACAATACAAATATGAATTTTATGTCAATGAATGCGTTGATAACGCGTTGTCAGCGCCACAGCCCTCTATGGCCACACTGGCTCTTCACTCCACTGGCTCCATAACCAAGACGATGTACGTTTGAATAAAACAAGGAATTAGCCGAGGAAACTTTCTCGACATTTTGTTTCGATTGCTTTAATGATTTTTATTTTGTCTTCGGCAACTTCTTGATGCTTTCGCAAATATTTTCGATTAGTCGAGATTAGGAAACGACTTTGCGGTATTAGCGTTGTTGATTTTTTATTAGAATTGATGTGCGTATGCCGTCGTGGGCGGAAGGATGTACGCTATCTGCCACTGCAGAATCTTGAAAGGGACTCAAATGCTCATAACAAATGCGAATTGTTAACACAAATGTTGATGTTTATTCGTTAAATATGCAACTTCAACGGATTCGAGCAGGACTTAGGAGAATTTTGGCCATTTTTTACTTCAAATGTGGCCAAATTGAGTATTAAGTTGACTTTTATTCTGTTTTTGGATTACTTCGAAAACTAATAATTTTTCAGTTACATTTGTAGAAGGAAGTTATTATTGGCTTCTTACTGACAGAACAAATAAAAATATTGTGTGTAAAGCAATTTACTGTCTTCAATTGAATAGTTGGAATAAATTTCAATCTTTTGGAGTAATGCGGGTATATGCATGTTATATATGTGTATAAAGTAAAATAAAGTAAGCTTTAATAATAATTGAAACCATTAAAATATAGCCATCTAAAATAGTTATCTTGTTTTGGTAATATAATTTATTTACTTATAATTAAATCTGAGAAATAATTCTAAGACCAGGAAAAAAAGATCTCTGGCCAGCTAGCCAAAAAAATTTTTAGTCAGCCAAAAAGATCTTTGGTCAGCCAAAAATCCATTTACTTAAAAATAATAAAAAATTTTTGTTGTTGCAATTTGACTACTGTTCATTCAAAATATCTCTATTGAGAACAATAACTTATTTAGAATTTTAGTTTTTTTCATCAAAACAGACGCTAAAAATCAATTTAATATATAGATTATTTAGTAAATCGGCTGTTCCAAATTTTAATACAAAAAACATAAAAATCGTCTATAATGTGGGTGCATGCTATATATTGAATTATTATCCCGTAAAATCTCTGCAGCATAAATATTGAAAGAAAAATGAATACTAATATTGATTTAAATAACTTCATTATTAATAAATCTTATTGTTCACATTAGCTCAATTTGTACATTATATATCTGATCTTATTTGACAATTTTTTTTCTCTTATATCACTCATTGTTGTTAAAAATTTTTGAATTCTTTCATATAATGAATGTTTAGTTCTTTATAGTTTTATTAATTAACGCACAAAACTTTTTATCCCCCATTTTTATAGGTTTGCTGGTATTTATCTATGTTAAACAGCTGTCTAAATTGAAAACTCTGCCATATCGGAGAAATAATTTAGACTATAGATTATAAATATTGTCAGACAAAAAAAAAATGTTACAGAAATATTTCAAATATTTTTGGAGTTATCTCAGAGTTATTATTGAACAACCGTCGTAAATATGTACTGTCCAGCCAGCACTCATTGCACATCAACTCTTTTATTTCTATTATATTTCTAAAATTTTAGTTCGCATACATATACCTTGATAAGGTATTTTAATTATCGTAGCATTTTAAAAGTATTGGACCACTGATACCGACCTAGACTTAGTAATGTCTGTCTCCTCTCTTTTTCTCTGAGTATCGCTAAATATCCATTATTAGTGGTTTTTTGGAATTGTTTGTAGAATAAATAGTCGATATAACATAAATTATCATGTATTTCTTGATTTTAAATTATATATTTTAAAATCATTATGGCAACTGCATTTATTCGTATACTTTTGCATTTGAAATTAATATTTAGTGCAGTGGCGTAACTACAGGGAAGCAACTGGAAGCAACGCTTTCGGGCCCCCGAATTTAGGGGGCCCCACTATAAATTTTTGTATTTATTTTTAATAAATTCTCAAAAGTGGGACGAAAGTTTTTTTGTTGGAATAACTTCATATTGCATTTTATAAAAGATACGTAAATTTTAAATTTAAAGTACATAATATGTATGTACTTCAAATAAAATATTAAACCTATTTATAAAATAAAAAAGTTTTTCTAAGAAAAATATGTGTCTTAATCGAGAGACTTATATGGAAGCTATATCTAGATTTAAACCTATTTGAAAATAATTTTGTACGTTGTCTTTTGCAAATATCAGTACTGTATACACCAAATTCCATTTGAATACCTTTATTAAAAACGGAGAAACCTCATATCCGATTGTTAAGTTTATATCACAGATACAAGAAATAGACGTCCAATTTCAATCAAACCAAATGGCTCCCGAAAAGTATGTGTGTAAAGTTTCGTTCGAAGAGTTCAATAGCTGAGAGAGTAGTTTGAACTGAAAAAGTGTATATATATTGTACTGATATATACTTAATGATATTTCCGACGTTTCCTTTAATGCGTTACGAAAATCTTGACAAACCTTATATATCCTTTTTACATTTTTTCGTGTAAAGAGTATAAAAAGAGGGGCCCCTTAGTATGTTGGTAGGGGCCCCTTAGTTAGAATTTGCTTACAGGCCTAAAAAATGTAGTTACGCCACTGATTTAGTGCAAGTTTATATAATCTTATTATATACAATATAATACAAAAGACAGTAGTATACCTCGTTTATAGTGTATTAAGTATAGTTAAGTACTATTTACAATGTAATACTGATTTTATTTTAAATTACTTTAATAATAGTTTAATGAAAACATAATATCCACTTTTAAATGAAAACTAAATTTTCCTTAATGCTTGAAAAGTTAAGTGGAAGAGACTTTGGATAATATCTCATGAATATTAATGAAAAGAAATGTTTTCTCTTTATTGGTAGGAATAATCAAAACACATTTAAAATGTCCTTACCAAGCATAAAGAAAAGAAACTGTCAGGATGCTTATATCCGATTTTCGTATCAGCATGAAGAGCGCCTGCTTTTAATTAAACATTAAAATTTAAATGACCACAATGGCCAAAGTCATTAAAATTTTATCGTATAAAACGCTACTTCATTTTCACTTTTAATTGTCAAATTATAAATTAAAATCTCCCTGGTCAATATATATATATACAAAAAATACAAAAAAATTATATAAAATAATTATAATAAAAATTGAGAAAACCAAAAAAAAAACATGAATAAGAAAAGCTTGAAAATGTTTACTTGTATAAGCGATCGAATGACAAAGCCCAGCATATTTCAGAAATAATGACAGCAAATTCTGTTGTGTTTTAATGAGACGAAACGAAAACAAAAAGTCCAAAATAATCAGGGCCTTCCACATTCTGGAAGAGAAACGTGAACAAAAAGAATTGTTCTTTAATGTAATGTTGGCGAAAATCATGTAGCGAAATATTTCACATATTTTTCTACTTTCTTATTGCATTTGTTGTGCTTGTAAGTGTAAGTGTAAGTGTATTTTTCATTTTCACATTTTATTTTTCAGGTCATTAATTATGATTCGTCAAGAGGCGGTGTTTCCGTAATTACCGAAAAGGGCGATGTGACAACATCATTTCTGCTCATACAGAATGCGGATTTGGCTGATTCGGGCAAATACTCGTGCGCGCCCTCGAACGCAGATGTTGCCAGCGTGCGTGTACATGTACTAAATGGTAAGTACATCCGGTTTAAAAACACTTTCCGTGATATATTTACTCATACTGTACACTGTACACTGTACAGTATGTACACTACGCAGTGCAAGCAGTGCCAGCAGTGCCAGCAATGCCAACAGTAAAAACAAAAATTTTAACCATTATTGTAGCGAAAAACATATTTTTAGCCATACGTACGAACAAACGACGGCGTTGCCGGACTTACGAATCGACTTACTTCTGCTCTGCACACATATTAAAATGGTTTGACATTGCAATATGCGACGACAATATTTGTATGAGGGTTAGCAATTGACAAAGGGCTACGCTTGTATGGGTGTTAGTGACAGCAGTGCTGCCAGCTAAGTGTTACATTAATTGAAGCGCCAAATTTTCAGGACATTTGCATTTGTGGTACATACGTGCAATACATGAGTGCTAAAGTAATAGCAGAGCCTTGTGGTAATTTCGATTATAACAAAAACATACGCTTCACTATACAACACACACACACACACACATAAGTGCTGTCGCATATATTGTCACACATACTCCACATACATGCATGCCATTCCGCATGCACACATGCCTAATGGCATTTATGCAGAAACATACGCTTTGACAGCACAATCACGCAGCCAAAATGACTGCTGGTTATGGACGGGGTGTGGGGTGTGGGAAAAGAGCAAATGTGAAATGCAAAACAAAAACAAAAAATGAAAAATTTCACACTTGACATATTTTTTGATTTGATTTTTAATTTGAAGTGAGTTTCGAATTAAAATATTAGTTGCCAAAATATAAATCAACGAATTATGCGTTATTATTTTATTTATTTTTTAATGAAATTTAGTTAATAGATTAATATAATATTTTTCTTTATTATTTTGTATTTCATTTAAAAATTTTTTGTTAATTCAAATGTTTTTCTAAGTTAACAAATAATTACTTTCATGGCACAACTAAAATCATTCTGCACTGCTGCTCGAGTTGTGAAATCAGCGTTGCGAGTTAAGTTGGTTACGGCTGTCAACGCAAATGTCCTTCGTTGTCACGTTTCCGTTTCGTGTTCTTGGTAGGCTACATTATTGAGATTGTTGGTCGGTTGGCTTCCACACTGCGTACACATTTTAATGTTAAATTGTACGTTTTAATTTTTGTGTTCAAAAAAAAAAAAATGAAAAAAAAAATTCGTTATTGTTGTGCGATGTGCAACAGCAAATTTTGACATTCTCTAAATTCTAATTAGTTCCATGTTTACGGTTTGCGTATTTCCTTTCCATCTAAAAATATGCAATTTAAAGCAATGTAAATATTAACAATTTTTTCATATATAATTATTGTTGCACAATTATTTATTCTCTGTACTCTTCACAAACCTAACGCAAAAAGTAGATATTATAGCCGTGTGCGAGTTCGAGTAAATTAAAATTTCCTCGGGATTTTTTGCACTCCATATATTTTTTTGTAAATATTTATTTATTTCACTTTTTTTTTAATTCTGGTTAAAAGTTTTCAAAATTATTTATTTATTTATTAAACATCTTATAAAATTTTCACAATGGCAACACCTAATTAAACTAATATTTAACTAATTTACCCTACTCGAAATTCTGGCAAATACCAATATTTGCTGTCATACCGACATAATTTACTATTTCCCTCAATTTACCATCAATTTACTTGAACTCGCACACGGCTAATGTTGTACACATTGTATGTATCTAACGATGTGAAATTCATAAAAATTCCAAACTATTTCAAATCATATTAAGATGATATCAGTTTTGTAGTTGTAGTTGAATAAACATATATCATATCTTGAAAACCATGTGCATCCGCTGGCTAGACAAATTCCACTAGACTGACACCGAGTGATAGACTCGTCATACTGCCTTCCTAAAGATCACCCTGAAATAAGCTTATTGAAAGGCCACTTAAAATAATTTTCAAATGTTTGTATATTTCATTATAGTACTATTTTACATAAATTAGTTTGTAATGTAATGTGAAAAGATTGTATTACAAACCTTTAAGGTTTTATATTTAGCGTGCAATATTTAAAGTCACGAACAATCTATTCGTATTGAGGTACAACTCTAATGACTAGAAATCTAACAGCTAAGGAAGGGGCTCTTCTCCCTAACATTCACTTCTCAGATATAGGCATTCTACTTGCTACAGTTTAACTGGCAATTAAACAAAAATATAACCAAACAATGCTGGGTTGATGAACCTCATTGTCAGATATCTAGGTTGACTTGGTCTTATTTAAACAAGAAACGAACAAGTCAGCTACTTCAACTAAGGCGAAATCTGCTCAGCACCACGGTATCTCTGCTGTCGGAACACTGCGAAATAAGAAGTTATGCTATGAGACTGGATCTACCCTATAATGATTTTTGTCGAAGTTATGACTCTGAGGCTAAGGCGGAGACCGTGCTCCATCTCATGGTACAGTGTCCTTCATTCGCTAGAAGAAAATTAAAAATCTTCGGATCCCCTTTTCTCACCGATCTGACTGTGCTGTCATTCTGTAATGTTCGGCCAAGTTTATAGAACTAGCAGGTTGGTTTTCCTTTACCTAATGGGGGAGTCCTTACCTTTTACGGCATTGGCTGTATACTGATTTAAGTCTATGTACGTACCAATGCTATTCCTGTGGTACTACACTGGGTCATCATTTGAGCTCAAGAGGGGTTTTTGGAAACAAGGCCACCACTTCAACCAACCTACATAGGACTTTTACAATTGTAACTTCTGATATTCTAATCAAATATGGTATAAGAGCATTTTTACTATATATTTGAATACCACTATAGAAAAAATTTTCAACTTAAATTAAGTCACAAATAGTTCCATTCATAGGAAACTATAAAATCAACTTTCATTGAGTGAAATATAGGTGCGACATTGTCAAAAGTTTGAAACTGATATCAATTTGAAGTTATTTGTAGCTATATTGAGTTAGACTACTTAGATTTATTCATGTTAGATAATTCAGTACTACTTTATAGTAGGGTATCTTGAACTTTTTTACAATATAACTGAAAGAAAATATTTTTTGGATTACAGTCAACTAACACATCATCGGGATACCTAAGAAAACAAATAACTTTTTAGCAAAACTTAAATTTATTCATCAACATAGTCTCCTTTAAGAATAATACAATCATTTTAGTGTTTCGTTAACATTTCAATATCTCACTTGCAGAGTGTTTTATCTCTGGCCTTGTTGAGGCGTTAAATTTTTCAATTGAGACAAATCTCTTTCCTTGCAACATTTTTTATGAGACCTGCGAAGAGGTAGTAGTCATTTGGACTATTTCTGGCGAATACAGTGGGTGCAGAAATGATGTGACGTGTATTTTGACCACGACTTGTGACAATCGCATTATTTTTATGACAGAGGACTTTTTTTCTTCTTTATAAGGGATCGTTTTTTCGCTTTATCCTCGTTTTAATTCTATTTAGGCCTTATCGATATAGATAGTCTATTTTTTTTCAATATTACTGATAAACAAAATTCTATGTACATCCCAAAATACGGGCGCTATAACCTTGTCAGCTGTCTGTTACGTTTTTAGTAGCTTAGGGTGAGGTTCTTCCTCTACTACCCACTCAGCCGACAACTAATTACACACTGGAGTGAAGTGGTGGATCCAAGTTTCATTTATTGTTATATATCAGTACAAAAAATCTTTTTTATCTAGCTTCAGTAACTCCACACAACTCTCAGAATTATCGACACATTGTCGTTTTGTGAGTTGTCAGTAAACATGACACTCACTTCGAAAAAAGTTTTAATTAGACACATGTTCATGCAAAATGCAAACGACAGGTTCCTTTGAAATTTTTAAGGTATATAATATGTCTTTAAGACTATAAAGACAACTGTATGAAAAAAGCATTATTGAAGATATTTATAACTACTTAATCCAAATGCAGTTAAGTCTCTTCGAATTTCAAGCTTAAACCAAAGTTAAAAGAAAACAGCAGAACTGATTACTTTCACATCAAAATGTGACAACAAATTTCCGCCAAAAAGTTTTCAAAAACCTTACCGAGTATAACTCACTAATCGCGCTTTTAATAATGTCAATTAAAATCAAATTAATTCTCATGATGTGGTTAATTACATTCAAATGAACATGAGCAAAACGTACGAAGCAGAAAATGTTCATTAGAATTACGAAGTTAAGAAGCGAAAAAATCAACGCGAAGTTAAAACTTCATTCATGTGGCAGCCTTGGCAGTCCTGGAAGCCCTGGCAGCGATTGCAAATTATGTCGAACACAACAGTGAGCCAGCCAGGCTTCAAATTAGACTGCAAGCATTACAGAAACACGGAAGCGCTTATCATTGGTGACAGGTAAATTAACAGAAAAAATGGCGGCGAACTGACACAAGAGCAATGTTAAAAGCAGTCTACCAAAAGTAGGTAACAACATAACGACAACAACAGCGTAAACATAATAGCAACAACAACAACAGCAACAAAACCGTAAGAAAAAACAATAAATAACAATCAAAAAACCGACATCAATGGCAAAACGTCAAATATGGCAAGAGCACTTTAACTGATGGTGCACAGCGGTTTCATACCATCTACTCGTTTATTGGATGTGTGTGTGTGTGTGTTGAGTTGCTTTTAGTGCTTGATTTTAGCACTTTACTTTGGTATATGGCAAGTTTTGCCAACTGTATATTGCTGCCAGTTTGCTTGCAGCAATCATGCTGTTTTCGGCATGTTGATGTGTATGTGTGCATGTGGATAGTACTATTGCTAATGTCGCCAGTGTTGTTATTGTTGAGTTGGTTGAGTTTGTTGTATTTGTTGTTTTGTTTGTATATAGAATAAGTGCCATCTGCATGCTGGCAGCATAGCAGCTGAATTAGTCGTAGTGTCACTTAACTGCAATTCAATTCATGCGTAAACGAAAAACAACAATAAGAACAATAACAACAATCGCACTAGCACAGAAATATTGAATGACAGCAACTGTAACAGCGTTGGCCAAAACATGGAAA